TGGCCCAATCCACCAAGCCTACGGCATGCAGCCGGACGAAGGCCTGAGCGCTGCAGTGGTTGTTAGTATATGCCTATATGACAATTCCGATACGTTCTTCTGGACGCGGCAAGACAGGGAGACTTACATCCAGTCGCGGCATCCGGTAATGGAGTTGTTGATACCCACAAAGTCGAAATCTTTCATATCAGTTCTCATGGTGCGTGGCAGTTCAGGACACACGCCATTGATCAATTGGATCATGTTGGCGAGCGTGGCTCGACGCACGAGACCGAACTGGAAGCCAGCCCTTGCGCGCGCCGTCCGACCCGGAAACTCGCAGAGCTCGATCCGGCAGGCTCCGGGACCCCGGGTGCCACACGCCGCTCCTCCGCTCATCTCTATGGAGATAGTCGCGGATTTGATTACACCGGCCGGGCCGATTGGAGAAGAAAAGTTGACCTTGAACACGACGTGAGGCTCGACCTTGTTAGTTTGGAGGAACTCGACCGTGAAGTGGTTAATCTTTGCGTGTAGGGCATTGTATAGATCCGTCAAGTGTTGGGGAGTTGCACTCGGTACATCGCGGGCGTCGTAAACATTGATAGCATCGTTCGTCAAGTTCAGTGCGGGATTGTATGAAGACATAATGGGCAGTGCGTCGTAGCTTAACTGACTTGTGAGGTTTGCTGTCTCCCGTATGGATGTTGTTTGAAATGTTCCTTTCGCCAGGAGAGGAAGAATGGTGAGTAATGGATTGGTCGCTGGGTGTCGATGCGTGAAGGAGAATTGCTGGGTTGGCAGTTGAGGTGTCCCGAACATCATTTATACTTCCTTGTGCTCTTGAAAAGCTTTTGAGGGAATCATGATGGTCACTACCTTGTTGGCCCAGACTCGTCTCCGAGACACAAGCTGGGTAAACGACACTTTGATTAAACATGATGCGAAACTTAGACGTGGCCCAGCAGACGCCCAAGCATGTTGGTCTACCTAGACTTGGGGGCCACAATACAGAAGATATGTTATACAGTAGTGGAAAGCTTGGTCGACAACGGTAGAAGAAGCTGATGGCACTTGGGACACTGAAACTGCATTGTTGAAGAACACGGAAGACTCAAGAGCCTAACGAGCGTGGTTTCCGCACCTAATCAAACCCTTCTGTAAGCTGCTACTTCCATGTTTTGCAGGTCCAAGTAGCTCCCGCCAGCGCATCCTTGAAGCTAACCACAGCATCGTTTCGTTTTCGATTTTGAAACGGGCCGTCGTCGTGATCCGGACTGGATAGAGGGCACGGTAAGGGGAGATCATGTTGGCCCGAGTCCGAAGCCCGCCTGTTGTCGGATTCGGGACCTTGTATCATTGCTGTGGCGTTTGAAACACCTACTACGCCGTCTATCCAGCATCTCGCCCCAATCCAGCCCATGAAGACAAACTCGGGTTAGCAGGCTGTGGCGCTGTGCCGCGTTGCGGCCGTGGGGGCCGAAGTCACCACCCATTCATTGTACTATGTACATGTATGTAGATCCAGCACCCAGTTTGTACAACGGAGATAGCGAAGCAGAGAGAATAGGACACTGTTTCCAGCGGTTGCTAGGAACAGACTGTTGTATTGATTGTGTCACTACAGTTGTGTGTTAGTGGGGTTCGGGTAGGTGCCATCTGTGAAGGTGTGGGCGTGGGGGGGGTGTCCTCCCCACCTCCTCAATGCGGCACCAGTGCACCATCCTCGCCAACCACACAACAGGGGATGGCCCGACCCGTCCCACCGGTCTCCCGCCTGGGCCAGAGGGCCCAAAACTGGCGGAAGGTCATGGCTGGCCTGGATTGGACGGTATGTACATACATGCCAACGGCGCAACCCCAAGCCCATATACGCACGCTGTACGCCGCATCAATTGTGCAGTTGGATCGCAGACAGGTTCGGCGCCTCTCTCCCACGGGATAATATCGAGTATATGGCGAAAATATTCTCCATGTTCCAAATATGTACAATTCATCTTGGACTCGACAGGAAGTAGCTACTCCCTAGGATGGAGGGGGTCTCGCTCGGACTTTCCAGTTTCCGCAATGCAACCCAGTCTGGCTGCTCAGCACGTTGGTGCTTGGGCTGCGGACTTGGCTCACTGCAGAAGCTCGGCCGATGTCTTGATCACCGCATGCGACCATGCACTCCACTGAGTTGCCGGCCTGTGCGGCCTGCAGCCTGCGTCACCCTCCGCGTTTACCCCACCGCGGCCCCGGGCCCGGACGCTCAATGTATTCCGCGCCCTGTTGGGAAAACGCCGTCGGTTCTACCCAGGGTATGAAGTAAGACGTTCGGGATTTCTTCCACAACCTAACTGAAGCTATTGAACCCCTGGCTCCGAAGAGAACACCACGTTTAAGCACACAAGCAACCCGCCATGGTATCCGGTCTACCGCCCAGCCCGATCAAGAAGACCCGGCTGGTGCGCATCGCCCATGTATGCTATAAACATGCCGACATCGACAAGGCAAAGCAATTCGCAGCGGACTTTGGCTTCGTGGAAGCGGGCCAAAATGGCAAGACGACATTCTTCAGGGGCTATGGCACCGAGCCGTTTTCCCTTGCTCTCGAGGCATCAGACAGGGACGAATTTGGCGGCGCCGCATTCGTAGTCGAATCGGAGGAGGATCTGGTCCATGCCTCCAAGTCGCTCCCCAAGGAGTGCCGGGCGACAGAGGTGCACAGCATGAAGAACATCGCCGGCGGCGGCCGGCGCGTCACCTTCTACGACCCCGTCGACGGGTTCCCCTTCCACCTCATCCACGGCCAGACCCTGGTGGATCGGGCTGATCCGGGATTCCCCCTCCCCCAGTTCAATTCGGTGAGTGAACCATCGCGCGCCAACACAAGCAGCTTGATCCTACACACACACACACACACACACACACACTAACCACCTCCCCCCTTCCCTCTTCCCCTAGCCCACCGAAAAGAAGCGCAACCCCAACCAATTCCAGCGCTTCCAGAAGCGCGCCGCCCCCGTCCACAAGCTCGGCCACTTCGGCATGTGCGTCACCGACTTCGCGCGGTGCTATGCCTTCTACACGTCCGTCTTCAACCTGCACCCGAGCGAGCTCGTGCACGACGCCGCCGGGGTCGACCGCACCGTCTTCTTCCGGCTGGACCGTGGCGCCGCGCCCGTCGACCACCACTGCTTCTTCTTCTTCGAGGGCCCCCGCGCGCACGTCCACCACGCGTCGTTTGAGACGCACGACCTGGACGCCCAGATGCTGGGCCACGACTGGCTGCGCCACCGGGGGTATGTCAGCTGCTGGGGGGTCGGGCGGCATGTGATGGGGAGTCAGATCTTTGATTATTGGTGGGTTTTCTTTTTTGTTTTCCTTTTTTTTTGGGGGGGGGGGGAGGGGGTTCGAGGTTTGCGGCTGATGAGTGACAGGTTCGACCCGGCGGGCTTCATTATGGAGCACTATGTGGATGGGGATCTGCTGGATATGAGGGAGCCGACGCACCGCAGCGAGGCGGCGCCGGATAATCTGCATGTGTGGGGTGGGTGGTTGCAACGAGACTCGGGTGGGATGCATGTGCTGACGAGGTTTTAGGTCCCGAGGTGCCGGCTACGTTCTTGCAATGATTTCAAGTCGAAGCAATAGGGCCTGGGTCCCGTTGGATGGATAGGTGGATTGGAGTTGGGTGTAATGGACCAGTGTTGTCTAATCCAACGTGATGATGATACTGCATAGGCTTGTTGAGAACCGTTTCATATCGCGGTCTGGGGATTCTCTTCTGCTTCCGGCAGCTGGGCAACGGGATCTGCTCATAGGCCGGCACAGATCCGCGATACGGATCCATTGGGCTGATGAAACGGGAAGGTGCCGAGCGTTCCTCGCGGCATTGTTTGGCTCTGCCCCGCCGCTGCTGTTTGATCGACAAATGGAATTCTGCCAGCTGATCTCTAGGTGCCACGCCATGACGTATTCCTTCAAGACCCAAGACAGCGCGAGCCATTGAGAGCTCGTCCCGTATAGATGAGGGGGCTCACCGCGCGTTGCATGACTGCCCCGGCCGCCACGCCAGGTGCTTCAACCACGGTTTGTCTTCAAAGGCCAGAGTATCTTCTGCTGCTGATTGATTTTCCACTGTCATGTCAATCGCCCTTCAACCGGACACCCACCTCTCGTCAATTCCGAGGACCGTGAAGTAAACCCGCCACGATGCGTCTCTCGCACAAGACCCTCGCAACATGCGCGGCCGTGTAAGTCTCAACGTTGGCAAGTACCATTGCCACTACACCATCCATCCAAACCAACCAAAAACTCCCACACCCCCCAACTAATCCCCCCCAAGCGCCGCCCCGGCCCTTGCCCAAATCACCGATTCGCTGTCGCTCGAGTCCGTATCCGGCTGCGCCGCCGTCGTCTCGACCACCGACATCTGCTCCACCTGCATGGCGGTCGCGTGCGTCGTCCCCGCGACAGTCACGGCCGGCTGCGGCGGCTGCGCGGAGACCGCGCCGACCATCTTCCGCTCGCACGGGTGCGACAGGGGGTGTGACGGCCTCGGCGGCTGCAAGACCGTGTACACCGTCGTTACGTCCAGTGGCGATGTATGTGAGTTTTCTCGGTGAAGATGGGCTCTGGCCGGGTGGGACTGGTTGAGTGCTGACTGGGTGGTGACTTTTGATGCAGGTTCTGTGTCTACCGCGGGCACGGGGTCTGCGCTGAGTGGGACGGTGTCGGCGGTGACGACGGTCAGTACGGGTGTTGCGAATCGGCTGGTGCCGCCGCTGCGGTTGTGGTGAGTGGGGGTTGGTGGCATGTCAGGCCGGGACTTGGAGGAGTTGTTTGTGTGGGATGGTGAGTGGAGGTGAGGTGTTGGTATTGGAAGTGCGGAACGGACTGCATAGGGTTGTGGTGCCAGCATGATTCCTGGTATTTATGGTTGATTTATTACCAGTTTTGCTGTACTTACTACGTAGCAACAAGCCGTTGCAAACATGTGTCTTTGGTTGTCAAATCTGGTCGGGCGACTAACGGGAGTTTAAGAAGTGAGCTGTCATTGCAATTTCAATAACAAACAATTCTGATTGACGAACGATACAGAAGCCAGCATGTCTCATTGTTCTGTGGTGGCAATGCCAGCTGCCACCGCTCCGATGCCCCTTTCCGCCTCGCATACACAGGCACAGTTGACACTTCTCCATCCCGATCACTATGGCTTGGTGTTCCGAGCTTTCGGGGCATTGGCTCCGGCCTGGTTGGACGTGGTCTTGCCCGTCTTTCCAGCATTTCCAGCCGGGACTGTTGGCGCCTTTGCAGCTGGAGTCGTTGTAGTCCTGGCCGTGGGTGCGGCCGGAGTTGCCGTCGCAGGCTTCGCGGTCGAAGCAAGCGGCAAAGACTTCAGATCGAGGGCCACGCATGGCTCGCCACTGTGGAACACCCGGGTTTCCGCCATTGCCACTTGATGTTTCGACGCCTGCTCCTTCAGCTTGGTCCATTGTGCTATGGTCACAAACGCCGCAGCGACCTTCTCGCTGTCATTGCTGGGCTTTGTCTGGAAGCGGCCGGCAAGCCTTTCAACAATGACGCTCTTGGGGGCCGGCTGGGTGATGATCTTCGATATGATGCCTGGCATTTTGGCGTCGCGGGGGTCGTACACAATCGGACACGTTGCCTCGTCCTTCCGCGGGCCCAGTTGCGCGGCCTTTTGGAAGGCAGTCATCATGGCGACTGAGGGTTGAACCGTGACCGGCTTTGTCGCTGGCTGCGTCTTCAGCGGCTTCTGAGCCGGCGGCGGTGCTTTCGGGTTTCGTTTGTCCATGGCTGCAGACTAGACTAGTTGGGGCTGAGACGGACTCTTGACAGGGCGTCGAGACGAGGGAGAATTGGGCAGTGAAGCAGGTGTCAGTGTGTGTTAACCCGGCGTTGATTTGAGTTGCGAGCTCCTAGTGCACAAGGTCGTGGCTGGGCACACCCTTTTATCTCTCTTCGTATCCCGCGCAAGGGGTAAAGACAATCTATTCTGGTGCCATCTTGGAGACCGGCCAGAGACCAAACAGTCAAACCCCACAGCGTAAGCTGGATTGTGGGTTTGCTGACCTCTTGCGTCCTGCTGCGCAAGGTTCCAAGTATGCCGAAGGAGTCGACAACCGAAGCATGTCAGCACTATCGGGTGGCGGGTTGCGAAGCTGTGTATTGTGCCGCAATGGTCGCCCGTTTTCACGGTGCCGTTGGAAGCAGAAACAAGCGCTAAGATATAGTCTTGGTTCAAAGCTGTTTCATACGCGCTCCTGCCTTCTTAGCGGTAACATCGCACCACCAAAGACCAGATTCCAGACCCAAGACATGGGCTCTATAATGGCTGACCGGCCTGGCCAGCTAATTTTGAGGCGGGCGACGATGACAAGGCGTTTCAACTGCTGAGCGCGCCAGGGATGGGAAACTATTTTTGCAACCAAGACCGCGTATTACAGCACATATAAGAGACGCCGTATCCTACCGTTTTGCTCAGACTTCAACCTCATGACCAAAGCACAGTACCACCGCAAACCTTGATCCCGAGAGTCAGAGAGCCAGACGGATACAACCGAAACCAAACCACCTTCCAACCTCTTCCACCCACCATGAGTTCCGGAACGGCAAACCCTCGTAGCAGCGCTGGCACAGCCAACCCGCTCTTCGGCATTGAAATCGAGGTGTTTCTGAAGCTGAAAGCCGACGTGGCTCTTGATCTCAAGACCGAAATCGACCTGGAGAAGTTCCAGCACAAGCAGACACTTCCATCGCACCTCTGGAACTGGGACTTCAATGTTAAAAACAACTCCCCTGAGCCGGAAGCAAAGATTTTGCAGCGCAACCGCGTACACCTCACCGTTCGACAGTGTCTGCAGGAATACCGCCTGCCGGAGGGGTGGTATATCGACGACGACGAGACACTGGACGAAGCCGGGCGCGATGTTCCAGATCGCTCGTACTGTAAGCGGCCAGTGCGAGATAAAAGACGGGAGAAGTCTTGCTAACATGACAGGGCGCTGCGAAATCGTCACACGTCCCATGCATGCCTCGGAGGCGTGGCAGGCGGAGCTCGACCGGCTCTTCGTTGCCATCAGCAGCAAGTTTGACATCTGGGTCAACGGCGACTGCTCGTGCCATGTGCACATCACCCCAGGGACCTCGGCACAGGCTCCGTACTACACCGCGGAGCAGCTCGCCCGGATCGCTTGCGCAACCTGCTACTGGGAGGCGCCCCTGGAACAGCTGCTGCCCCCAGACCGGAAGCAGAACGACTGGGCGAAGCGCAACACGGACGACATCCCCGGTCTCAAGCTGCTCTATGACAAGGTGCCCACCGGCACCTGGGCCCCGCTGTTCAAGCGCTTCACCGACGCCAGGACCCTTGCCGGCGTGGCCGCGCTGATGCTGGGCGACGCCCGGCGGATCAAGGTTGTCAACAAGAACGGCCAGCTGGAAGCCAAGTTCTGCCAGAAGTACCTGTCGACCAACTTCTGCAACGTGCTGACCAAGATCGGCACCGTCGAGTTCCGGCGCCAGGGCGGCGTCGCGTCGGCGGAGCTGGCCATCAAGCAGGCCCTGCTGGCACTCACGCTGCACGTCAGCGCGCTCCACACCAGCGGGCCGGAATGGGAAAAGATGCAGAAGACGAAGGCGCGCCCGACCACGGCGGCCATGATCGCAGAGCTCACCCGCTGCATGGCCCTCCTCCCGCCGACCAGCCGGCTTGCCAGCTTCGGAGCCTGGCTCAAGCAGTGCGACCAGAAGTACCATGCTCTGCCGCCGCGGAAGCTCAGCGCCGGCGAGATCCAGAAGATCAACACTCTCCAGAGCAAGAAGAGGTTTGAGGCCACCCGGTTCGCGGTACGTTGTCCTGTCCTTGCACGAAAGTGCCATTGCTTGCTCCCGAGCCCATAGCTGACATTTGGCCTTCTGCCGACCCAGACCCCGCCTTCTCCCCCTACTCCGGCCGCGGCTGCCGTTGCCGCACCGGTGTTGCCGCATATCACGGCCGCCCCGTGGGCCGGGACGCTTTCCGACATGGAGATTGAGGCCAACCCCTGGGCGTGAGACGGTTGGGGGGTGGGTGTGGGAGGACATGGCACTGATCTGTCGGCCCGACCGGCAAGCCATGTCGAACTGCGGGGAGGGAAGAACTAACACGGCGGGAAATATGTCGATTGTCTCGAGAAAGGGGGCTTTCTGTATACAACCAATAGGTCGAGCTCTCGATGTTTGGTTAACTATTAGTCGGTCGCTCAACAACTCGCTGCTTCTTCGCTGGCTCGCGACAAATGCTGTAATTGTAAGCGGGAGGCTATCCTGATCGGGAAACGGGAGTCAATCATTGAGTTGTTAGTCTTCTTGAATTTCTCCATTAATGGCCTTAACAAGGCTGCTTACTGGTTCTTTGTGTTTTGTGATGAAGTTGCAATTTGCAAGTCACGGAAAAGGAGTCAAAGGCCAAGAACACGTTGGGAGTGGAGCAGGTCAGCTGAAGAGTTGACCGGGTGACCAGACAGTGGAGCTCGACATACGGAGTACATGTAATTATATCATCCCTGATATTACACGTATGTATCCGTACATGTACATGTAGCCCCACTAGCCCCGCCATCCCTCTTGTTTAGCTCCGGGCCCCCGGATGTCTCCCATTCCCGAAACCAAGTTAACGATGAGAGGACGGCACCACGCCTTCCCCGAAACCATTTAATCCATTCGCCTTCCCCGAACCCATTTCAATCCATTCGCCTTGCTTGGGCTGTGCCGACGCGAAATTTGATCGACACATTGGCAACCAGTACTCCGTGCCTTACCTCCGCTGAAGCTCTGAGCTTCAGGCCGCTTTCGGCCGCCATGGACCACTATCACTACGAGTCCAGCTCCGATGACGGCATGCCCCCATTCGGGCTCGTGCCGCAGAGATGCCCCATCTGCCAATCGACTTTGGGATTACGCCGTTGCGGCGGCTGCAAGGTTGCCAGCTACTGCGGCCCCGCACACCAGTCGGCCCACCGATCGACACACATGGCAGCCTGCGAAGCGATCAAGTGGACTCGAGCGACCCTTGAGCGCGAGGAAGCCGCCCTTCGAACCCACCCTGGCGGCTCGTTTCCTCCGGGAGACCTTTTCAAGACCGGGCCGGGGAGGTTCTGGGGGATCTTCGAGACACGAGACTACATGCGGGCCCGGTTCGCTGCCGCCGACGCGCTCGTCAAAGCCCACACGGCGGTTGGGGTTGAGACGGGGCTCGAGCACTTGATGGACATGATGCGCCTCTGTCGAAGCGACAACATGGGTTTGCGAAACATCATCCCTGGCCTCATGCTGCGGCTTGGCCGGGAGCAGGAGTGCTACGACTTTCTCAAGTGGTGGGCCACCGTCGATGGCGATTACGACTGGGGCAATATGGAACTACCGTATCTGAACATACGTGGTGCCGACGTTTTCGAGCCTCTTGGCATGTGCCGGCCCAGCGCTCTGAGCCTCAGTCAACTCGTCATGCTTACACTTCTCAAGCTGCGGCTTCGTCTCGATCTTGAAGCTTGCGAGTCGGAATTGACTGAGCCCGATCGGCCTGTTGGAAAACTTGTGCGATCGCGAGCCCCAGCGTTCGACATGCACCGGATGTCGGCAACGATCGAGGCCGTGACAGATCAGTACCATACGCTCTGCCAGGCCGTTTTCGATGCAAACCCATACTTCTGGGCCGAGCTGGATGAGGTTGAAGACTTGCCAGCTCTGCCCTCGTTCTACACCCTTCGGTCGGTTGAGGAGGCTCACCTGGCCGTGATTTACTGTAAACGGGCCTGGTTAGAGAGCGAGGACGCTCTCGTGATGATCGAAGCGGATACCAGCAAATTCATCTCCAAATGCGAATGCCAAACCACCATCGCCGGTACCGGCGCTGCTCGGCCGTCAACGCCACAACAGAGAGCGGAGAACTTGGAGAGAAGGCGGGGTGTCGGAGATGTGTTTCCATCAAAGTTTAAACCTCCGTTGCCGACCTCCTCTCCACTTGAGGTCTTTCCACCAAGCCTCGACCCCGGCCAGAGTGCCCGGTTCGTCTCGGGGAATGATGCGAGAACGACACTCGTGTACGTTGACGGCGCCTGCGCGAACAACGGACAGCCAAACCCTCGGGCGGGCTGGGCAGTCGTGTACGGCCCGGGTAACGCTGTGTCGGGTCGGCTCGAGGACAAGGGCCCATTCGGCCATGACAGTGTCGCGACGAGCAATCGAGCCGAGTTGCGGGCGGCCATCGCCGCGCTGCGCCTCTGCGACTGGGGGGACGAAGACATCGACAGACTCGTCGTTGCAACCGACTCGTCCTATGTGGTTGCCGGCGCCACCGGCTGGACCAAAGGCTGGGTTCGTAACGGGTGGAAAACGCGGACCGGCGGCGATGTCAAGAATCAAGACCTATGGGAGCTATTGCTGGGCGAGGTGGAACGCTGGCAGGAACGCGGGCTCCGTGTTGCCCTCTGGAAGATCCCAAGAGGGCTGAACGTGGATGCCGACACCGGGGCGAAGGAGGCGGCCGCAAACGGGACGGCCGAGGTCGAGTTCAGAGATGTCGTGGTCACAAGTCCGGCCTTGGAGCCTTGGCAGATGGGACTTCAGGGCTTGGCGGCTTGGCGTCTAGTAACTCTCACCCTTGAATAGATTATCCATTTCTATCTATTCGAACTTGCCTCATCTCATAGATCATTTACAAAGCCACGATGGAGCGAAGAGTGTGGGGAACGGGCGTGTGGGTGGATTGCGATTGCGAATGTATAAGACAAGCCATTAGGGCAGGGATAGCCCGGATAGGCATGTATGTATGCCGTATGGTATGGGCATGGATGGCCCCCACAGCCAGGGTGCCCCACACGCTACCACAGCCCAATCCGCGGCATTTCCTATGTCCATCTTGGCTTGGAATTTGAAGATAGCCAAGCACTCGTGATGGCGCCTCTCTCGCGCCTCGTGGTG